GCTGCGAGGGTAAGTGATATTTATACTTGAATAAATGCAAAAATGCTCCTGGAGAATCACATTGGAATAATTGCTGCATAATGTTTAATAAAAGAAATATAGTTTTTACGACAAGCATAAATAAATTAGAAATAAATGTGGAGAGGTATAATAAAGAATAAAACGAACAATAATATAAAATAATAGAAAAAATAATAGAAAATATATAAATAATAATGGACAATATAAAAAGATAAATTGTATCCCTTCGTAACTAATCGTCAAAAATATTCGTCACTGAAAGAACCGCAATTGTGTAAAATTATATAGCTCTCCGTGCTTATTACTTCCTGCTCGGCGTGAGTACGGACACGATCAGTGTCACACGGTTGAGCTGTGCATTCTTCAATTCTCGTGGTCAAAGACCTTTGTGTTCGTAAACAATGCGATGGTCCGCATTAAAAATCAGAACGTCGGTGAACGAAAATTCTCCTCGATCGCTCGTTAAGGCACTCTCACTTTCCAAAAGCCTGACCTTTCTTGTTGGGATAACAAAAGGACCAAGAGAAAGACTCTGTGGGTGCGGTCGAATAATTTGGCACGAAGTTACCGGCAACGTGCGGAAACTCGCGCGGGTAAAGGCACGATTGCGGTCGTTGACACGCGCGTACATTGCGTTTTCTACAGTATCGGAGGAAACTGCGCGTGCATGGCGAATATAATTCCTCGATTTTCCCCGTGGTTTTTGAAAAAATTGACATGGATCTTCGGTGAATGATGGCAAACTTAAAATGTATTTATTTGAAGGCACTTTTCTCGCTTGACAAAGTTAAAATCAACAAAATTAAAATGTGGAACTTGCGACTGACTCGTTCGAATCGTTGCTCATTGTCGAAATGATTCCTGAGTATATCTTTAAGCTTAATTTACAATGTCTTTTTTGCTTCCTTTTTCTTGCATTTTGCTACTCTTTATTTCTTGCATTTCTGCCTTTTATCTTCTTTGTTGTCACCAGAAATAAAAATTGAATTTCAGAAGAGACAAGAAATATGTAATTAACAAGAAACATGAATGTTGATAAAACAATCGCAAGAAGAGCAGAGATAAAAAAAAAAGAAACAAAAAGCAAAGAACACACTGTAGATTAGGCTTTAATTATAACTTAAATGAAATATTTAATTCGGTGTCTCAATTAATAAAATATTTAAATACAATAATATTTTTAATAATAAGAATCATATTTTAGACCGTATATGTGAGAATATATACGAACCAGAAATTGAATGCCTATATATAAATAATTTAATATATTGAATTACTGAAATCATTGAATTATTTAAGCATTAAAGATCCAGCTTCGACCGGCACAATATTTTTGTTGCGCCTAGTATTTAAAATTTAAATAGATTATGTAGATTTTTTATGAAAAAAATAAGTAGAGAAAGAACACACATGTACTTTTTGTACGAACGAAGGAAATGCCATATCATCCAATGAGCAATTTTATTTGAGCTTGGACTTAAATGATAAACATCATCGAAATTAGAAATATCAAATAAGATAGTAAGATATAAGTTGCACTCGAAGCGCATCTTTACCTTGTATAAATCGCATAACGTTTTCTCTGAGTAATATGAGTTGAAGTTGTGATTTTTCTAATAACGATTGCAATCGCGGCCTTGACTATCGGCCAAGGCGATGATTTCGTAAAAGGAACGCACGCTATCGTGAGGTACGAACATACATACATATCGCGACAGGCGGATAATCCGCGGACAGTCTCGTGTAATCGTGAGACGATGTGTCGTTCGACACGAGAAGTTGGTTTGGCTTGCGTTCAGAAATTTGCATGTTGCTGGCTCAAGAGTCACGTAGTAACCGACCTAACTGAATTCATCTAAATTTAGATGACGCCGCCGCTAAGCGTAAATAATCGTGAAACGAAAGCCTCCTTCCACGCGCGATACAGGATACCCGGTAGAATCGATCTTCTACGGTTGAATTCCTTCCGCAATCTGTTACTTATGATTTTCCTCTAAAAAAAAGATAATTGAAAGAATATGATAGAAAAACATCGTATTTATAAATTCGGAAGAAAATTAGTACATAGAACAATTATTAATCTGCTACATATAATACATTTTCTAATAAAACTATCTATTTTATTACTTATATATATATAAATATACACATATTGCTTCCTTACTTCAAGTGAAATACAATTAAAAAAATTAAATTTCCGCAATTAAATATCGCGCAAAACATTGATTTTTAATTTACAGTGTAATCACAAAAGAATATTTAATCTTCCAAATATTACGTTTTGCATTATTTTGAATACAAGGAAAAAAATAATTAATCTTCTTAACATACAAGGCGTTTCTTCGTTGATGGCATCTTTGCGTGAATCACGTAGGTAGATTCAACCGACAACAAAAAAAGCCGTCTCGGAAGGGAAGATGAATCGTCGTCTTTCCTAGGACAAAAAGGTGTGTGCTCGAAAAACGCGGTTGCGTGCTACTTCATTCGTGGGTGTGTTCAGCTATTATTTCTTTTTCTTTTTACGCGCCGCATTATCCTTGACCCCACGTGCCGGCCTTGCGACGCCTGTGCCAGTAATCGCGAATTCTCTCGGTGCTTTGCAATTTTATCACAAATCATTTTCCTATCTAATTTACGAAATTACACAAAATAATTTGATAGATGTATCTCGTGAAAGTCATTTATGTTTCGGAGACGATTACCGTGAGTTTGATGGTATACGTATAATAAATTGAAATGAGGAGCACCATGTACGTACATCTCTGATAAAAGACACAATACATCTCGTTACACTTATCTTTGTACGATTCACGGCTTGAAAGCTTCTCCGACAGATGCCGCCAGACTTAGAAGAACGATGTCTTCGATGTCGCATTATTGGAGCAGATATGAAATTCTATATTCTATAAAGACGACTTCGATCAAGCTCCGATTAACTTAATCATTAAGTGATTAAATAATTTACAAATAAAACTAAAATTAGTGAATAAAATTACGTTTAAAATATTTTTAAAAATTAAGAATAATTAATTAAATATTGAAAATTTTGTTTTAAGCCAGTTAAATTAACCGCTGATTGGATCAATTGGATTGAATCAATTGGAATTTGCTCAATGTCGCCCTAAGTCTGCTTGTTAATATAAAAATTTACCAATTGATGATTATAATTTTTTTTACATTTTATATATTTGTGTTTCTGACAGCTCTCTTGCAAGGTAATTTATTTACTATAGAAAATACCGCGAAGAATAGGAAGAAGACTAAATTTTCATAAGCATGTACTTGTACTTTATACTTGTACTTTATACTTGTATATCTATATCTTTTCATACTATGTTGGTATCTTCTTATATAAGATGTTATTGGAAATTATGCGTCAATATGCGGTTAAAAGAGAACGACAACTAAGAAGGATTTTCCACTTAAAGCAACCTGAGTAATCCATGGAACTACAACGTAACGTTCGTAAAATCTAATTTCTTGAAATCAGGATAAAAGTGGTTCGTTTAATATGTGATCTATTTAAAATTTGAGAGAAGACGAGGTTAGTTTAAAAATATTTTAATGTCGCAATATCAGTTATTAGAAACTTCACTTTACGTTTTGAAGTGAACATAAATTTTTCAATCGTCGCCAATTACATATTCTTCTAATTAAAATTATATTGAAAAATAAAAGAAAAAAATATTCTTTAAAATAATAAAAACATTCTTTTTTTCTAAAAACGCCAAGTAAGAAGTCTAGTTTGTTTTGAGTCTACTTTTTCTCGCTTCTTTTTCTACTTTAGCGAAAACATCGCTTCCGTTTCCATGGCAAAATGTTGAAGAAGGGGGAGACGGTAGTCACGGGGATGACCGAGTACTCCTCGTCGCAACCCTCGGGTCGATAATCCACTACCCCCTCGAAGAAACAGTTTGTTCGCGACATTGCTCGTTGTCGGTCGTTGATAGGTCGGTCGGTTAGTTGATTGCATGTTGCATGGGACAGCAATTAACGAGGCTGCTGGCACGGGGTCTTTTTCCAAGTCTGAGACCCCGCAGCAACGCGATGCAACGTGATTATCCTCATCCTCGGATCTCGGGCAATCAGGTCACTTCACAAATGGTACGATTATCTTGAGCCTTCAAATCAAACCCAGCCAAAACTTTTAAGTGAACCGGGCAGTCTCGTATTAAGATGTCTTTTCGTGCTACCGTTTCACGTTTATATTTTCAGTGTGAAAATACGTTACGTATATGTGACTAATGCCCATTTCCACCAATGTAGATTAACTTTAACCTCGGTTCAATTTACTCTTCGTCTTTTTGTAATCTTTAGAACTAGAAAAAGACAAAGAGTAAGTTGAAATTAAAGTTAATCTACGTTGGTGGAAATGCCATAAGACAGTGAAAATGTATGAAAACAATAACGTCATATATATATAGCGTTCAATCTTGAATCGAATGATTTATCACTAGAAGTTGGATTTAGCGTTAAACACTGGCATCAAATTGAGACGTGATCACTGACGTTATTTTTCAAAGTGTCACGAAATGGCTTTTAAGGTATCTTTGAAGATCCTTGATATTTGTCAATTTTAACTACATGATCTATTTTGACTCTAAAAATGAATATCAAACGTCAGCATGAAATGTCTTTATTTCTCGCTGTTAATCACGCAAAAAGATCTTCTTTCCTTTATTTCATAATTAGGTAATATGAGAAGAAGTAAGAGAGATTCGTTGTTGCTCTCGTATCAGATTAGCTTTAATTCGTGAAACGCAATGCTGCTAAAACATACAAGATAGTGTATTTTAACATCCCTGTTCGGATGTTAAAATAGAATCATGCGTTTTGATGACAGAGTTGTCTGTTGTTGGTTTGTCGTTCATTCACGATGCGACATGACACGACGTGAGATCATCGTGAAGATTTCGGTGAGAACTCGGAAGATGTGCCAAGAAGCGACGATTACAAACTGCTAAGTGTCACCGATACCTTGGTAGACCGCAACCGAAATAGAGCGAGCGTTCGTGGTAGTTAAATAACCAGTCGACCGCGACATTTTCAAGGACATTGCCAGATACACACGAAGGTTTGCCTGCAGGTTTTTCTGAAAAATAGAGACTATCAGTGTCGTCGTATGGAGCAATAAGAGTTGCGATGATAAAAAAACTAGAAAACCGATAAACGCTTTGTGCAACCTCGGCAAAACATATTATTATGAATCACAGAAATTTGAATTGCTATCGAGTTTACGAAGATAATTGGTGGAATAACAGTGTGTCGTATATATAGATTCGTTGTATAGTCGCGAAAGCCTCGACTTTGACCTCAATGTGTGTTGCTCAAAGTGGAGTAGATCATCGAACTTTGATATATCAATACGATGACGTATCGAACAGCTATTTAATAATCACTTAGCATAAAGACAGAAAAACAAATGCTACATTTTTAACACGAACGTCATATATTACACAAAGAGAATAATTACGCACTTTATGTACTTGCAAAAATAAAATAAGCACAATTGTAGAATTACCTAAAAATACTTTGATTGATGACCATCGCAAAATTATTACAGACTCAGAATTACATTAATTAAATAATTATTGATCTTATTATGGAAACATGTTCCATGCAATGAAACAAATATTATTTACAATTTTTGTATCTGCTATAATATTTTTATTTGCTATTTATAATGATTTTTCGATAAGAATGCAGACGTGAGCGTTAAAATCACGAACGGGCTATTAAAATTCTTGTTTAGTACCGTCCACGAATTCGATAGCGAGCGAGTCATTCGCTCGTAAACTATTTCTAGGCTAGTCGAAAAATAGCAGCAATGGTGGGATCACTGTTAAAAAGCTGTTGCACCGATTACGCGATTGACGTGCAGAAATGCATTTCTCTCTCTCTCTCTCTTTCTCCTTCTCTTTTTCTTGCCCTCTCTCTGCTTCATGCATAACGAAATTAAACTCTCGCCGGGTAGTGAATCATATTTAAGCACAGTCTAGATTAGTTTGCATCGCGCTACCATCATACTTGGTGATCCAAAGCTGTCGTGCTTTCTACGATTTGATAGGAAACGGTTTATTTATAATTTTATAATTATCATAATTTTTATTCGATAGTTATTAGATACAGGCGAATTTTGAATTTTAGTCTTAAAATAGTAGTTTGATTGTTGAATATATGTGATAAATGTGAGATTAATTACGAGTAAAATAATTATGTTAAAAATATTTGAAAGTGATTTAGTTCAAGATAATTAAATTATTGAAGTAATTTTATCGAGATAAATTACAAAGAATTTGAGAAATAACTTTATAAAGATTATAATAAAAGATAATTTTTTATAAAAATTAATTGATTATCAAGTGTTATGAATATATTGATAATTTATTTGAATATTAATAAAAAAGAATTATTTGAAAGTAATTTTATTAAAATTATCGATAAATATGCTTTAATTTCTTCCAAAAATTTTGTCGATAAATAATAAATTATTTACTTTGCGCGAATATTTATGTCGAGCGTCATAATTTGTTTTTAATTGTCTAAAAAAATAATTATCATTGATTTTATTTTCATATCAAAAGGGTGATGTAAATCTTATTTAAAATATGAGCGCACCGTGGCCGATACATCGTGGAGTATTACATCGAAAACAGTTCGAAAAATCGCGAGTGGTAAGTCTTGAGAAAGTTTTAATTTGCATCTCTTTTTTTTTGCCTTCGATAATATTCGATATTCTCGATAAATTACTGAATCGTAATAAGGCAGTAGTTTCGATAAACAATTTTCGATAAACAATTGGACATTAAGGAGAACTTCCTCATGGAATTATGCTCGTTCTTGGCGTAAATATCTTTGAAAACATCCGCTGACGGATTGGAATGCCATGTATTTAAAATTGAAAGTTTATTCACATCACTCGCGATTTTTTTAAAATACCGCACGCGATTGAGCTGAGAATAAAGCAAAGCTGGCCTTGCGCGATCGAGTGTACTTTTAAGCGGGAAGTCAATCGAAGAAATTTGTCTGAATGAAAAAGAAAACAATTCATGCGAAATGGCTATGAAAAAAAAAACGAATGGTACAGGATTAAGAATTATTAAAATGAAAAATAGCAGCGTTAAAAAAATATAATTATTGCTGTTCGATCTCAGAATAAATATCATGCTTTTAGAAGCTAATGAGAAGCTATTTTAAGAATAATTTCAATATCAAATGTATTCAAATTTAATGTAACATAAGGATTGAGACGGTAATTAATTATTATTCTGTTAGTTTTACATTACTCAGTTATGGGCTCCATGGAGCGATTTCTGCGACGAGATAACGTTCTTTTTTATCCGTTAATATATTATATTTATTCACGGCATTATCATTGACGTCATGAATTGCAAAGCAAGGTGGTAGCAAGATCAGTGTAATAGCAGAATCGTACTTAATGCATCGCGTAACATAAGCGGTTGTGACGACATGCTCAAATTATATTTAGAGAAATACGTCGGGAGAATCTCGGACGACAGAGAGGAGAGGAAAGATCGATGACGAAGAGACAAAATGAGCGAGACCGATGAGCCGTCCACAATACCGATCATTGTATCGCGAAGTCTCGAGAGGGAAAGTACCATTGTATTTTCCGATACTTGAAGGGCATAGTGATAAGAACGAGACGTTGGTGTATATTGGGTATTCAATATCTACATATTATTTATAATAGTATAATTGGATGCTTGACGTTTATCTGTATCAGATATCGGATATTCGCGATTAAGAATTAGAATTAATCAGCTTAAAATATTCTCGCTTCCTGTTCTCTCTGCAACGATAAGATATTTTTTTTAATGTAGCAGATTGAAAAATAAATGTAATAACGACAATCTTATAAATGAATTATTTTAATATATTATTAGATTTTCAAAATGAATTTTGAATCATCTTATATATGTAGGTATTCGTTATTTTTATGGAATACTAATTTCATTTCTAAGAAATTTATTCATTACTTCAGGTAAATAAAGCAAAACACTTTAAAGAGTGAAATATTTATTTTTAATATGATTGTAGAATTGTGTTATGTTTTTTTTTGACGGTATAGTATACATGCGTTATAAATAAATGTTTGCACGATATTCTTGTGATTTCCCGATTTTTTGCATTATTCGAATGAGATGAATAACTGTTAGATGAAAGATTAGAATGACAGAAATGCATATGTAATTATACATTACTGTCCATGAAGTGCGTGTTGTGGCTACATGTCGGAACACCGAAAAAAATCATATCATCCAGAGTATAGTGCAACAGTTGTACTCTCTTGGTACGAGATGCTATCGTCTATCTGCCTCTGCAAATTAGCACCATAAGTGGACCTTCGATAATACGCGCTAATTCTCTACAACGCGCGGAACTTTACAACAATATGTCATAGAGCTAACAAATATATATATATATTTATTATAGCTTACATCACTGAACTTGGACATGATTTTTTGTCAGAAAAATAAAATTAAGTTAAATTAAAACTGCAAAATTAAAATTAAAATTAAATTTTCAGTATTCTTAATTGTAAAGCGATATTTTTCTGATTGGCTAACAATAAGCGATAATTAGATATTCCATAACAAACATTAATTTTTCTTATGTAATGTAATAAAGTAATGTATGATGTAAAGTATGTATGATGTAAAAATAATAATATAATTGCTAAAATAATGATTTCTCGTGCTGAAAAAAAGAAATGAATATATAGAAATGTAGCAAAAAAAATTTTGTATATTTTCTATATATTTATTTCTTGTTTCTGGACAAGAAATCATTATCGTACGATTATATCATTATTTTTACCTCATTTTATTATATTATTACATCAGGAAAATCGATGTTTGTTACAGAATAATTATTATTTATTGTTAGCCAATCAGAAAAAAATATTGTTGTACAATTAATAATTAAGATTCGTGAAAATTTTATTGTTCACTTAATTTTTTTGTGTGATTTTCTAGAAGAGTGATTGTATTATACAAATATTAAATCTTGAGATTAAAAAATAACAATTAAATTTAAATCATCGGATTGTAAGGCTCTAATAAATAAATTCAAATATAATAAAAATGTAATATAATAACCTGTTTAAATAATAAAAAAAAATCAGAACATGGGACTACGAACAAAGCTAGAAGTTAAAAGCTAAAATTTCTATATATATACAATATAATTTATAAACAATCTAAACCAGACGTTTAATTCTGGATTCTCTATTGCAAGATCTCTTAATTGCGAATGATATTAGACAAAAAAATCGGAGAATTTTTTGTAATATTAGGTGTTGGAATTAATTCGTAGCGTTTTTAATGAAAGAATGTTATTTATTTCACATGAGCATTAAAAAATACATTAATGAAAGTACTTCCCATCACTTGTAAAACGCTACGAATTAATTCCAACACCTAATAATATTTCGACATAATTGATAGAAGATGAATCATTAATTGATAAGTCTAACATATTACTCGCCAAGTCGCCACTATTATGTTAAGATCATATATTAAAACGTTCTTTTACTTCCGTAAATTTTTTATATTTTGATATATTTAAGGCTGACTTTTTAATGGATATCGTCGCCACTATTTACATAGAACGATAACTATGAATTTATTACAATAATGCCTCCATTAATTGCGGGAATAATATATTCGGATTAATTTTGGACATTAAAGAGTATTGTGTGCAGTTTTTATTATTTGTATCGCAGAATTTTTAAATTTTCATGTAACATTGAGAATGAAATCAGGGTCTGGTAGATTGTTTATGAATTATATTATATATAGAAATTTTAGCATTTAACATCTAGCTTGGTTCGTAGCCCAAAGTTTTGATTTTTAATTTCAAATAATAACTTGATTCGAATAGATCTTGTTTATTTATTATTTAAATTAAAAAATAAGTTTATGATTAATAGGAGAAATACTGAATATATTTCTTTTTCAGGAGCAAAGAAGCTTGAAGGCTGGCGATCTCTCGCATCAAGAGAGTAACAATATGGCAGCATCTACCATGAAGCTTCAGAGCGATTCTTTTACTTCCGAGAAGGTAAATAAATAGAATTTATTTCATGAAAACTTTGTTAGGAAGAATATGAAAAACTACAAAACTTTCTTTGGATAATCGAACATCTTGATGAAATAATCATAGTGCACCGCTTTGTGAAAAAACGCGAAGCGTATAATTTTCCCGATTTACATTTGCGCTTCTGGCCGTTTACCAAGGAACGCGCGTTAAAACGTCCGCGAACTGATAATCGAAATCGTAAATCGCCATTCTTAACATTGGAAAACTGCGGCCAGCGGCTGCGCCGTTTTTTGGCACTTGAGGTTGCATCGCTGTTTAACGCAGAAGCAATGCAACGAGCGATGATTTAAACGTCGACGAGCTCGCAATCGGATCCCAGTCGAAAAGTGGACTCGCATGATTCGAGAAGCCTGTGAGAAGTGTAAAACGTCGAAATCATACTCACTAGTCGTTCAGGATGATGCTAAGGAAGTGCAGCCTCGACTCGCGAATGGTAAACAAAGTGTAAAATTTATAGAACTGAAGGAAACAATAACATAATTTTATTTAGTAAAAATTTATTTTGAAATAAAAAAAACATTGTTACAAATTTATTTTAATTTAAATAAAAAATATAAAAATTCTTGCTTGCGCTGAAAACTTAATTAAGCAAATATCTTTCTGTACTCGTATTTTTAGGAATGAATATGTACTTATAAATCTAATTTCTAATGTTTTTTTTTTTAATGTAACGATGAATGAGAAATCAATATAAATAATTCTAACGAACGTGGTTTATAAATCAAACATATAAAAAAAGGAGCATGAAACCACAGCACTGGATGTTGTTTGAAATTTAATTATTCATTACATTAATAAAAAATCTTTCATGCTCCTCCATGCTCCTTTTTTTATGAGAATATTTGAGAAATCAATATTTCTGATAACCTTCTCCATTTTTCATCTATTTTATATTAAATTCCTAACGATTGTAAAGATCAATCAAAAGATCATCCTTTAAAGCATCTGAAATTCACCTATTCCTCGTTCATTGGCAATCCGACTTCCTAATGCTTGTCAAACTCGATGGAGTCCTCAAGTTTTTTTCTCAAGACCTCTTCAACAATATCCTTGATGATCTTTCTCAAGATTTCAAAACTGATGAACGGACAATGTTTTCGTACTGTGCAGAAAGCGATGGCAGCGCAACAGCAGCGACAGACAGTCACTTCGACCGGCATTTTCAACCACGAAAAGCACATGGCCTCGAGCTCACAATCGAGCATCACGATCGCGTCCAAGTCGGGCGTGAGTTCATCCAAATCGATGATCAGTGCTGCGAGTGCGGTTAATCAACTGATGAACGGCATGCGACCACCGACCGCTGAGGATGAGCTTTTATCTTTACCGTTGGATGACTTGGATCTACTTTGCTCCAAGTCGAATCCGCAAGACGTGGACTGTGCCATCGCCAAGTATTGCAGCCTGCTCGACAGCTTCGTGGAGCGATTGAAGGTGAGCGCCGACAGTGGCAAGAGCAGTAACAGCGGCAGCAAAGGGCCACAACTGTTGAACAGGGTGAACGAGATCATCCGGAAGGCTTGGGCAGTGCCTACACATGGCCATGAGCTGGGTTATACCCTGTGCAACACTCTGAGGACGCGCGGCGGTCTTGATCTACTCATGTCAAATTGCGTGGCGAATGATCGCGACTTGCAGTTTTCATCGGCCAGATTACTGGAGCAATGCTTGACTACGGAGAACCGCGCTCACGTGGTGGAGAATGGCCTGGAGAAGGTAGTGAATGTCGCATGCGTGTGCACGAAGAACGCCAATTCGGTAGATCACGCGCGCGTCGGCACTGGGATACTCGAGCATTTGTTCAAGCACAGCGAGGGCACCTGCAGCGACGTCATCAGACTAGGTGGTTTGGACGCGGTGCTATTTGAGTGTCGAAAAAATGACGTGGAGACTCTGCGCCATTGTGCAGGTGCGTTAGCGAACCTATCGCTGTATGGTGGAGCTGAAAATCAAGAAGCGATGATCAAGCGGAAGGTGCCAATGTGGTTGTTCCCGCTTGCTTTTCACAACGACGACAATATCAAGTATTACGCCTGTCTGGCGATCGCCGTGTTAGTCGCCAACAAAGAGATCGAGGCAGCCGTCCTCAAGTCCGGCACCCTCGACCTCGTCGAACCTTTCATCACGTCGCACAATCCTTACGAATTCGCTAAATCGAACTTAGCGCACGCACATGGTCAGAGTAAGAACTGGCTGGAGCGGCTTGTGCCGGTCCTGAGCTCTAAGCGGGAGGAGGCTCGCAATCTGGCGGCCTTCCACTTCTGCATGGAAGCAGGTATCAAGAAGCAACAGGGCAATACTGATATCTTCCGAACAATCGGCGCGATCGAGCCGTTGAAGAAAGTAGCCAGTTGTCCGAATGCGATTGCGTCCAAGTACGCGGCACAAGCTTTAAGATTAATCGGCGAAGAAATTCCGCATAAACTCAGCCAGCAAGTGCCTTTATGGTCCACTGAGGACGTCCGAGAATGGGTGAAGCAGATCGGTTTCGCCGAGGTAGCCCCGAACTTTGTGGAAAGCCGAGTGGATGGCGACTTGCTATTGCAGTTGACGGAGGAGAATTTGCGCGAGGATATCGGCCTGACCAACGGTATCATGCGTCGCAGATTCGCCCGTGAGCTGCAAAACCTGAAGAAAATGGCTGACTACAGTAGTCGCGACACCGGTAACTTGAATAGCTTCCTGCAGTCGATTGGCCAGGAGTTCTCCATCTACACGTATAGCATGTTGAACGCCGGGGTAGACAAGGATTCGATACGAAATCTCTCGGAGGATCAATTATTGGCGGAGTGTGGCATCACCAACAGTATCCATCGGCTCAGGATACTTGACGCCATCAAGAATATGCAGCACAACCAATTCAGCTCGTGCGAGTACGAATCGCCTGACAAATCCCTTGACGTCTTCGTCAGTTATCGTAGATCGAACGGCTCGCAACTGGCGAGTCTGTTGAAGGTACATCTACAGCTGCGGGGCTTCACGGTTTTCATTGACGTCGAGAGGCTCGAGGCCGGCAAGTTTGACAACAACTTGCTACAGAGCATCAGGCAGGCCAAGCACTTCCTCCTCGTACTTACACCCCAGGCTTTGGAGAGGTGTATACAAGACAGCGAGTGCAAGGATTGGGTACATAGGGTGAGTCTGAATATTTTTCATCGTATTTTTTTTTTGTTAGAAAAATATTGAAATACTTTTATAGTCTCTTTAACCCTCAGTACACACAATGGGGTTAGCGTAATCTTACCCGATTTTAATTCACGTTTTCTTCCGCTCCCTTTTCCCTTATTG